GTATTTAGTTTAGCCTTGGCTGGGGCAGTATTTACATCTTAGCGTAGGTTACTTGTTAACCTAAAGGGCTAAATCATTAATTGCTAAATTGCTAGGTTTGGAGGTAATAGGTGTTGGAAGTATATTTGGATGAGAGAATTTTCCAGATACATGAATTCATCTGGTGCTTCTCCTGATCGCGATCATCATCATCATCATCATTCCTGATGTTTATGGAGCATTTACATATTAGTTTTCTATTGCTGCATTAAAAATTATCACAAACCTAGGGGCTTGAAACAATACCTATTTATTTATTATTGGTTTTTTTGTTTTTAGAATACCCATTTATTAATTCATGGTTTCTGGAAGACAGAGTCCGAGCATGGCTGACAGGGTTTCACAGGCTGCGATCAATGTGTCTCTTTTTCTGGAGGGTAGCATCTTCTTTTAAGCTGACATGGTTTTGGCAGATTTCAGTTTCTTGTGGCTGTAGGACTAAGGTCCTTCTCTTGCTGGCTGTCTGAGGTCCTAGCGGCCGCCCACAGTTCCTTACCAGGTGACCTCCTTTAGAGTCCCCCTCACACTATGCATTTCTCTGATTGCAAGAAAGGCTTGGTTCTTTTTAAGTCTTTGTCTGATGGGTCAGGCCCATCTGAATAATCTCTGTTTGATTAATGCAAAGTCAATTTATAAGAAACCTAACTGTGGGAGCAATATCCCATCATATTCACAAGTTCTGCTGGCCCCCAAGGGGAGAGGACCATATGATGTGTGTACAATAGGGGAAGGGAACTTAGAGAATTCTTCCCACTACAACTCATTATGTGTCCGGGGCTGTACTTAGGAGGAAGGTACTATTATGAGCTGCATTTTAAAAATACGAAAACTGAAGCCCAGATCATTTAAATAACTTGACTAAGGTCACTACCTCGAATTTTACGCCGTAGAAATGTCTTTTTGTGTATTTATGTGGAAGTTTAGCACAATATGGTAGGTGCTTTGTGGATTTAAAACAAATGGCACCAGCTCCCTGGGCCCTGTGGACCATGCTACTCCATCTAGTAGCTTGTCCACTAAATCTTTTATCCAGCAAGTACTGCCATTAAGTGCCACATACATGCCACTACAATTTGGTTAATGCCAGACTGCATATATGACAGTGGACTGTTAAGATTATAATGCACCAGAAAAATCCCTAGTAACTAGTAATGTCGTAGCTGTCATAATATTGCACTGCAGCTCATCTGAGGTGATGCTGGTTTAAACAAACCTACTATGCTGCCTGGCATATGAAAATGTAGCACAACGATCATGTGCAGCAGATAATACTTGACAGTGATCATAAACGACTATGTTACCAGTTTCTGTATTTACTAGATTTTACTTTGTTATTTTAGAGGGTACTCCTTCTACTTACAAAAAAAGTTAACTGCCTCAAGCAAGTCCTTCAGGAGGTACTCCAGAAAAAGGCATTGTTTATATAGGTGATGACAACTGCAGGCATTACTGCCTCTAAGGACCTTCCAGGGTGACAAGATACAGAGGTGGAAGATAGTGATCTTGATGACCTTGACCCTGTGTTGGCCTAGGCTACTGTGTGTGTTGGGTCTTAGTTTTAACAAAAAAGTTTATTAAAAAAAAATTAAACATATCAGAAAGCTCCCTTCCCTGGTTAGAAACTGTTGGCCCAGGTCCAGTTATAGTTTTCACTCTCAGAAGCACAAACCCCTTGTGCTCCTGGACCTGAGAAGTGGCTGGAGAGTGACCATGACATTTCAGATTCCAGAATCTGTGTGCTAAAGACTCTGTTGGGGTGGCCAGATATGTTGAGCTGGGCTGATAAGGCGCTAACCAGTGTAAACATGTGGAGCTCGAAAATACAGCAATAAATACATTTGGTATTGGTAGCTGGAGAGTTTTAATGACTATACATGAAATGTGACTTTATAGAGCAATGGAACATAAGAAAAGCAATTCTATTAAACTATACTGTATGTATATATGCATTACCTGACTAAAAGACCAACTAAACACCACAGTCCATCCAGTCCCTGGTAGGACAGCTGGTATAAGAGGCTCATTTTTGTCACGAGTGAAGTTAACCTCATCAGCCTGTACTGCTCCAAGACCAACAGGGTTTCTCTGAATAAAAAGTCTTCTTAAGCAGCCAGCAAAGCTGATGGCAAGCAGGCTAACAGTGTCAATAATAGTCCATATCAGGGGTCCTCAAACTTTTTAAACAGGGGGCCAGTTCACTGTCCCTCAGACCATTGCAGGGCCGGACTGTGGGCCCCAGGACAAGTCGGCTGCTAAGCAGGACAGGCAGTGGCAAAAACACTCGGTGGGCTGGATAAATGTCCTGGGCGGGCTGCATGTGGCCTGCGGGCTATAGTTTGAGGACACCTGGTCCATATCATGCGTGTCTATTTCCGTCAACAGAATACAGACGTTGTGCAAAGCCTCCAGTTTCCTTAAGCTTTTTACTGCCTTTGTGCTAAGCCTCGGTGGCAACTCTAGCCGAAGTGCCAGAAGCCAGGAGGGTCAGGGAGAAGAGAGGCTGAGGAACAGAAGGGACTTTGGGGAGGAGAGGCCTGTCCTGCCTATTGCTGTGGCTGGTTTTCCACTTGCTTTTTCTCTAAGAGAAAATCATTTCCCTGCTTTGCTTTTCTCTCCATCTATAAATGGTCAGTAGCTACTGAACAGACCTGGATTGAAGCAAAGTGGAAAGTGGGACTGGCTTCCACCAAGAAGCGAATCATTTCAGCATGCGTGGTCCCCCACCGCCTGGGGCCCGGGGGCTAATCGAAGTTAATCCTGTTGGCAGTAGATCTCCTCACAGGCCATTCCTTAAGAACTTAACTAAGTATCTTCAATAAGTAATGGTCTGAGGCAAGTAGGAGTGGATAATTGGAACCTAAGTCAGGAGATTTGTTTTTTTATTCTATTTGGTTAATTCATGGTTCAATATGTAGGTACAATTGGTATCATTTTTGGATCTGTATCCCAGACAAAAATATAATAACCCGATAGGCTGTGTTTAAAGGAATATGAGTGTTCTATTATCATTCTTTATCTAATTAAAAAAATAAAGCAATAAAACAAAAAGCACACACCCAGTGTTGGCAAGACAACCCAGTTTTACTTAAACTATCCTATTACTGTTCTTGGTAAACATGTTTTTGAAAAAGCCAATTAAACTTGTATGAAGAGAAAGGAATACTAGATCAATTTATATTCGAGTCTTATTTTAATAACTGGTTACAACAGTTTTATTTCTGCAGATAGGTGCATTTCTCTGGTCATAAAAAGAAAATAAGAGAAAGGGTTACATCAGGGTTTCCTAGGCAAAATGGTGGAGTAAATGAGATATTTAAAGTATGACCCTCAATATCAGGAATCCCTCTGGTGTGCTTAGAACTTAAATTATTTAGACTTCAAAATTAGAAGACAATTATACAGAAATAAAGTGTGCTGCAAGGAGCTTTGATATTAAATATGCTCATCTTTAGAGACCGTTAGGATAATAACCTGGCCCTGTGCAGAGAGGACTGACTTGGCTGATAACTCCCACTGAGCACTGGGAAAGGATTTACAGGGAAAACAATAGTGTGAGATCTGTTTGGGTTAGCAAAGGGGCACGGGGATTTGCATTGACTCTCCTAGCAGAGTGACCTCAGCGTTTTGCATCCTCTTGCGTCAATGAAGCAGGAAGCTCTTAGGCAACATTTGTCCGCTTTTCAGTCTCATCTGGATTGTTCCGCAGCCTCAGCTTTGTTTCTAGCCTCTGCTTCCATTCTTCTCTGAGCCTGAAAATAGAAACAAAAACACATACAGATGGAGCTTTCATCTCCATGGCTGACGGCTCAGAGAAACTTCCTTCCCTCCCACCACTGTCCCCCCAAGGTAAGTGCGAACAGACTCTTGGTTCCATTAAAAGTATTCTAATCTTCGTCCTCTAAACTTTCCTTTGAGAGCTCAGTATCTTTAAAGTCAAAAAGAATAAATCTGTAAATCTAGACACCCAAACTGTCTTTCAAAAACAGAGGTGGGCTGGACACAGTGGCTCATGCCTATAATCCCAGCACTCTGGGAGGCCAAGCCAGGTGAATAGCCTGAGCTCAGGAGTCTGAGACCAGCCTGAGCAAGAGTGAGACCCCTTCTTACTAAAAATAGAAAAACCAGTCAGGCATTGTGGTGGGCAGCTGTAGTCCCAGCGATTCGGGAGGCTGAGGCAAGAGGATCATTTGAGCCCAACAGTTTGAAGTTGGTGTGAGCTATGATGCCATGGCACCCTACCCATGACACAGAGTGAGACTCTGTCTCAAAAACCAACCAACCAACCAACCAACCAACCAAACAACAACAAAAAACAGAGATGAAAGAAGTTATTTTTATCAATGAGACACCTGCACTCAAATGTTTATTGAAGCACAATTCACAATTGCCAAGATGTAGAAATCAACCCAAGTGTCCACCAATTCATGAGTGGATCAATTCAATGTGATATATGTATACCATGGAGTGCAACTCAGCATAAAAAGAAATAAATCAATGTCTTTTTCGGCAATGTGGAGTATCTCAAGAATGGAAAAACAAACACCTATGTTCTCCCTAATAATCTGGAACTAACTAATGGGGACTCATGGGCACAGAGAGAAGGAAAAGTCGTTAGAAATTAAAAAGAGGGGAAGGAGAAGATGGGGAGGGGTAAACATCTACCTAACAGGTACAATAAACACTCTTCAGGTGATGGGCACATTAACGGCCCTAACTTAAGCATTATAAAAGCTATTCATATAACAAAGACATTTGTACCCTCTTAAAATTTTGAAGTAAAAAACACCAGATATGAAATAAAGATGATTTTAGACATACCAAAACTGAAAGAAATCACCACCAGACTGTCACTACACTACATATTAAAGGAAGTCCTTCAAGCAAAAGGAAAATGACACGAGATGGAAATACAGGCCCACATAATGAGGTGAAGAGCAACCAAAAAGCAATTAGCAGGATACATGTTAGTCATTGTTTTCTTACTCTTTAAAGCTCTTTAAAAAATAATCAACTGTTGAAAGCAAATCTGTTAATGATGTATTGTGGCACTTAAATATGGAACTAAAACTTTACTTTGTACAATAGCACGAAGGTCATAGGGGAGAAATGGGGATATACCATTGTAAGGTTTTTATACTATACAGGAAATGATAAAATACCACTTGAAGGTAGACTGTGATGAATTAAGGAGGGATAATATAAATCCTAAACAACTGCTAAAATAACCCAAAAAGACATATTTCTTTAAAAGGCCAAATAAATAAATAAATAAAAGGCCAACAGAAGAGATAAAATAGAATCATACAAAATACTCAGTTAATCCAAAAGAAGGCAGAAAAAGAGAAAGGAGGCCAAGTATGGTGGCTCATGGCTGTAATCCTAGCACTCTGGGTAACTAAGGCAGGAGGATTGCTTGAGTCTAGAAATTTTCTTTTTCGGATTAATGTGAGAGTGCAAACAATGAGGTTACAATGTTTGCATTTGTTAGGTAGAGTCCCTCTTGTAGCTGTGTTCCACACCCAGGAGGTGTGCATATACCCTTACAATGTACCCATTGAGTGGGTTGAGTCCCGAAATTTGAGGTTGCAGTGAGGCAAAGAGCAATGATGATGACACTGTACTTTAGCTCAGGCAACAGAGCAAGACCCTGACTAAAAAAATAAATAAAAAGAGAGAAAAGAAATACAGAACAGACGAGAGAAACAGGAGACCAATAGTAAGATAGTAAAGTTAAGTCAAATCATATCAATAATGTTAATGGTATAACTAATCCATTTAAAATGCAAAGATTGTAAAATTGTATTAAAAAAGAAGTATCCAAATATGTGCTGCCTACGAGAAATCCACTTTGAATATGAAGGCACAAATAGTCTAAAAGTAAAAGGATTAAAACAATTTCTTGTTAACCCTAATCAAAGAGAGCTGCAGTTGTTATATTAATATCAGACAAAGTAGATTTCATAGCAACTAATGTTACCAAAGAAAAAAGGGGTCATTTTGTAATAAGGGGGTCAATTCATCAGGAGGGTATGCCACAACAATCTTACACACTTATGTGCCTAATAACAGAACTTCAAAATACCTGAAGCAAAGTGATAGAATGGCAAGAGAAATAGACAAACCTGCAATTATAGTCAGAGATTTCAATACCCATCTTTCAACAATCAAAACCAAGTGCGCAAAAAGTCAATAAGAGTTTGAAACACTTGAATAGTATTATCAACCGACTTGACGTAATTGACATTTAAAGAACATTTACCTCAACAATAGCAGCAGAACACACATTCTTTTCTTTTTTCTTTTTTTGAGACAGAGTCTCACTTTGTGTCCTGGTTAGAGTGCTGTGGCATCATAGTTCACAGCAACCTCAAACTCTTGGGCTCAAGTAGTTCTCTTGCCTCAGCCTCCTGAGTAGCTGGGACTACAGGTACCTGTCACATCACCCCGCTAATTTTTTCTATTTTTAGTAGAGATGGGGTCTGACTCTTGCTAAGGCTGGTCTTGACCTCCTGAGTTCAAGCAATTTGCCTGTCTCACCTCACAGAGTGCTAGGATTACAGGTATGAGCCATCGCACCCAGTCTTCTTTTCAAATGTACATGGAATATTTAGCGGGATAAGAAATATTCTAGGCTATAAAACAGGTCACAATAAATTTAAAAGGATTTAAGTTCTGCAAAGTATAGTCTCTGATCACAATAATCAAGTTAGCATCAATAACAGAAAACCATCCGAAATAGTGCCTAAATATTTTGAAATCAAATAACACGATTCTAAATAAGTCATAAATTAAAGAAAGAATCAGGAAATTAAATAAAAATCAATTGTAATAACATCACAAATATGAAATAGGGATAAATCTGACAAAAGATACACATATAACTTGTGCACTGAAACTGTCGAAAGAAACATTGTTGAAAGAAATTAAAGTAGATCTAAATAAAGAGAGAAATACATTATATTTATGTATCAGAGACTCTAAATATTGTTAGGATGTCAGTTCTCCTTAAATTGATCCATAAATTCAATTCCATCCAATCAAACCCAGTATGCATCTTTTAAATAACAGAAATTGACAAGTTATTAAAAAATTCATATAGACCTAGAACAACCAAAACAACTTTGAAAAAGAAGAACTGGTTGTACGACTTATATTATCTATCTTCAAGAATTATTACAAACATAAGCAGTCAAAACAGCATGTCGTTGGTGCCAATGGACAAATAGATCAATGGAACTGAAAGAAAGCCCCCAAATAGACCCTCACATGTATCAGGAATTGATTTTCAACAAAAGGGCAAAGGCAATGTAGTAGAAAAAGGATAGTCCTTTCAACAAATGGTGCTGGAATCACTGGGTAATTCATATCTCACATTTAATTAAAACATTAAGTCAAAGTGAATTATTATGTAAATAGAAAACTTAAAACTATAACTTCCAGAAATAGAACCTAGGAGATAATCTTTGCATCCTTGAAATAGGCAAAGATAAATACCCAAAGCAAAATTCATAAAAGAAATTTCTTTATAAATTGGACTTGATCAAAACTGGGAACTTTTCTGCAAAAGAATAAACCCCAAGAAAGGAAAAAGAAGATGATGATAAAGATGAGAGAAGAAACTAGTGAAATAGTTCCTAGCTCATTAAGGGGATAGGATATCAATTCAAAAAGTAAGAAAAGAATAAAAAGAAATAGAGAAGAGGAGAAATAAAACACTCAAGGAACTAATATGGTGGAAACAAGTCAATTGTAATAAATGTAATTCACCAGGGACCGACTAAAATACTGTATGTCACATTAGAAAATCATATAATTCAACTACGTGCTGTTCAAAAAAGACACCCTTAAGTGATAAAGACAAAAGTAAATTGAAAATAGAAAGAGGAAAGAAAGACATACAAGGCAAATACAAGACATACAGAAACAAAGTGTGTTAATAGCTGATAAAAAGACTTTCAGACAAAGGGATAATGAAAGTCACTGCCTAATGATAAGAAGGTTCACTTCACCAGGAAAATATTACACTTTGAAACGTATATGCAGCTAAGCCTCAAGCTATACACAGAGAAAATTAATGGAACTACTTGGATTATGAAGATGTATTGAGGAGGAAGAATTGTATTCTTTTCTTGCAAGATAACATTTAAAAAATAACCTTTATTGTAGAACGTTAGCGCCCCCTGTATCTACTCCCAGCTTCAGCAGCTCATGGCTAATCTTGTTTCCCACAGCACCTTTCCATTGCATTCTAAACAGAATAACCATAATTAGTTATTTTGTTCTTAAAAAATAAGAACTCTTTTTCAAAAAAGAAACTACCTGACTATCCTCAGACTTAAAAAATTAACCAGAGGTACTTGATGTCATCAAATAGTCAGTCAGTTCACAATTGCCTGATTGTCTTATAATTTTTAACAGTTTGGTTAAATCAGGATCAAAACAAAGCAGTACATTTTTACTTGTTGCTATATCTTTTAAGTTTCTTTTAATATGTAAATTCTCCTTCAGCTTTCCCCTTCCTTTGTGATTTTTTTTAAAGCCAGATTGCTTGGGAGAGCTTGCACAGTTTGGATTTTGCTGACTGTATTCCTGTGTGATTTTAACCTATTCCTCTGTCTCCTGTATATTCTGTTAATTGGAGGGTAAAACGAGAGGCTTGATTAGATTCAGGTTCTTTTTTTTGAGACAGTCTCATTACGTCACCCTCAGTAGAGTGCTGTGGAGTCACAGCTCACAGCAACCTCAGGCTTAAGCGATTCTTGGTTTACGCGATTCTCTTGCCTCAGCTTCCCGAGGCACCTGCCACAATGCCAGGCTATTTTTGTTTTTGTTGTTGCAGTTGTCATTTGCCCCGGCTGGGTTCAAACTCGCCAGCCCCAGTGTATGTGGCCGGTGCCCCACTCACTGAGCTATGGGCGCCCAGCCAGATTCAGGTTCATTTTTTTCCCCACCCTTCACAAGTGATATAATGGACAGCCATCCTATCTGTCTGGCTTTGTTTCTTTTTTTGATATCAGCAGACACTGATGATCATTGCTTAGATCCAATTTTCATTAGATGTCACCAAATGTTGGTACCTATTTCTGTCCATCATTTTTCATTTGTGTTTGGAGGCTGCATCAGTGGAGGAGGCATGAAGTCACCCCTGCTAGAAAACAGGACCCTGGGCAGGAATTGTGTGGGGAAGACACTGGCGGACCTACCCCCCAGTCCTCTCACCACCTGTCCACAGAACCCAGCCAGAAGCCAAAGGATGAGGGCACCCAGCGTGGGGAAGGGGTCTGCCGAGGGAGGAGAGTTAGTGGGGTGGGGGGCAAAGGAGATAATCCAGCTGGGCAGGGAACCCAGGAATGGGGGGCAGAATCCCAGCGCAGAGTGAGCTGGCAGCAAGGACCCGCATGACAGGCAATTCCATGGTCGTGCCCACGTATAGCCAGCCACAAGCACCTATTGAATGTTCAGTGCTGCAGCAGGGACTTGGAAGAATACAGGATAAACATGTAAAAATGGCTGTCTCTCCGGTCACAAGCTCTTCTCCTGCCTTGGGAACCATTTCTTCTACTTAGAATGCTCTTCTCCACTCTCCCCCTTCTGCACGGCTCTCTTTTCCCTGAAAGATGTCCTGGGGGCGGGAGGGGGGCACAGTGATAGATACCTGGGGGCTGGACGTTGGGGCATGGGCTGGCCCCCCAGTATGCCTCATACCAGAGGTACAAGCAGCTGCAGCCCCAGGGCTGAGTGAACCAGCGCTGAAGCTGGGAGCCCCAGGGGACCACAGAGGGGATCACTGACCCTGCAGTGTGCAGATGGGGGACGGCGGCACTGTGTAGGACCCCTGGCCAATTCCAAAATGGGGCAACATCATGCACACCCCTGCTCACGTTAGCAGCTGAGAAGCTTCATCTGGGGTGAAGGGAAGACGGAGGTGCGTGCTCTCTGCCCACGGTGGAAGGGCAGTGGCTCTCCACCACCCCTCTTACCTCTCTTAGTGTCCATTTCTCTCTGATAAAAATAACCAGGAGGATGCTGAGGCCCAGAGGCCCAGAGATGCAGAGGGGTGGACCTGTGGCGGGCTGCAGCAGGCTCCGCCCCACCCTGCTCCGAGCTCACTCTCGCCTCTTCTTGTTTTTCTCCTCTAAGCAAGGTCTTCCTTTGGTATTTTGCTGCTCCTGTATTAGATTCTGGATTACCCCGGAGAACAGAAGAGAGAGTAGATCTGCTGTTCCTGAGCCCTGACCCCGGGCCGGGCACCGTGCTGGGTGCTTTAGGTACATGTTGGTTTTCAAGCCTAACATCCTGATGATCTGGGGCCTTCTCTTCCACTTTGTGATGGGACAACTGAGAGTAGTGACCAGAGCAGAGGCCCACTGGGCTACCCAGTTCTAATCAGAGGAGGGGGAGAGGATAAACAAATTAAGGTCTTCTGCCATCTCACCAACCAGATTTCCTTGTGGTCTTTTTTATATGCATAGATGGATGCCCTCTACATGTATACACCTGTGTGTGTGTGTATGAACACGTTAGCAAACTGTACAATTTGTTTCACAACTTATTTGTTCATACCTTGGCTTTTGCCTCTCTTGGAGCCTTGTCTGGGGAAATCAATTTTGCTTTGACAAAACAAACTAGGTGACAATGATGTGTCAGTGAAGGTCACTCATTGCCATGAATGTGTCACTGTGGTGCAGATGTTCACAGTGGAGCAGTTGTATATGTGTCGGTGGCAGAGGGTGAATAGGAACTCTCCATACCATCTGCTCAGTTTTGCTGTGAACCTAAGACTGCCCTAAAAAATAACACCCATTTTTAAAAATGCATTAATCTATAAAGTAGAGAGACAAGCCACGTACTTCCTCAGCGCACTTCTTCCCAGACGATGCTCCTCTGATTCTCGGTAGCAAGTCTGTTTGCCGATTTCCCTTTCCCAGAAGCGTTTGAGCTCATGACAAGTGTTCCGGCAGAAGACCTCCCGGCGAGTGTACTGATTGTTCATCCCCTGGAAAAGAAAAGGATGGCTGAACCCCTGTAAAACACGATCTCTCGGACTCTGCAGGGTATAGGCATCTGTCTGAATCCAGACCCTGTCATTACAAGAGGGGATGCTGGACAGCCATAGAACCTCGATGAGTAAGAGGACACGTGTGGCCCCAGGACCTGCTGCTGGCCATCAGGACACAGAGAGATGTAAGCACAAAAGTGGCCCATAGGGAATGCAGAGGTGCTGGAGCGGGTGCCCATGTAAACACCTGGCAAACACCTCTGTCCTTCCTTCCTCCCCACAGAACAATCATTTCTTAACCTTTTATCAGCAGGGAATGTGTGCCAGGCATTGTGTCCACCTTGGTCTGTTCAGTTATTACAACATCCACATGAGATAGGCATCACCTTCCTCATTTTATAGCTCAGACATCTGAGGAGTTACAAAACTTGCCTGTGGTCCCCCAACAATAACTGGCAAGGGTAGACTTCATACTGATGAAAGTTTCCAAGCCTTTACTAAAGGGGTTTGTCATAGAAGATGGTTCAAGGGCCTGACACACCCAGAGCAAGCTGCGTGGAGGCACATGCTTGTATGTGCATGTGCACAGGTGGGTTCTATGTGTGGAATGACATGTCAGACTCTCATAATGCCAAATTTTTTCCATGAAGAAACTCTGCTCCACTGTCAAATCTAAGTGGGCCCAGCCGAAGGCCAAGAGCAGAGACTCCAGGTGCTCCTGTCCATGGCTGGGGCCCCTGCAGAGAGGGGTGGGGAAATGTTAGCCTGGGAGAGTTGGCTTGGCTTCCTCAGAGAGGGATGGGCCCTGATCCCAGGAAGGGCTGTCCGTGGGGTAGTGGTGGGTCCAGACCTGGGTATTATAAGATGTTCTGGGACATAAGACTGGAGGGGCAAGGGTGGACACAGTGGGGGAAGCCCAGGGAGACGCTGTGACCAGGGTGGGAGGGGTGAGATGACCAAGAGTGGGCAGCCTCCCAAGGGACCTGGAAGTCACCTTCCACAATCCAGTGGACAGTGAAGGAAGGGAGTGTCAGTGGAGACTCCCTTGGTCCTGCCTGATGCATAGGAGGATGAATGCAGAGAGCCGTGGGGAGGGACCTTGAGTAGTGGTGGGGGTTTGAGTTGCCAACACCCAGGGGAAGCACTGAGGGGACACCTGGCAGTTGTCAGCCTGGAACTCATCATGGAGTGTGGGCCATAGCTCTTTTAGAGAGGGCCGGGGGGAAGGAGAAGCGTCTAAGGCCAGATGTTCTGGAACATTCCAGACCTGTGTTCCCACTGCCTTGACATACCTTCTGTTTGTCACATAAATTCTCATAACCTCTATCTCCTCATCTTTACGATTTCCCTGACGATCAAATCTGATCACAAATGTGAACGTGTTTGGCAGTTTATAAAGTTCTGAATAAATATAACCATGAGCTTGGTCCTGGCCTCTGGTTTTCTGGCATAAAGACACCATCAGCCCAAGCTCCGTGAATGTCATTGAAAGCACAAAGAGGTGTTAATCTCCTTTATTTCATAATATTAAGTATTTGGCTTCTTGGGTATATGACTGAGATTCATTTGTCTCTGTCCCTGTTCTGTTGGCCACCATTTAGGACTGCTTAGATGACAGGGCAGCAAAACCTATTCTTAGGTCAAACAGCAAAACTGCCTCCCTCTGAGGACCAGGCTCAGGGGCACATTTGGTAAGAGCTTTTGTCCTATGTCCATTCCTCTGTGGCACATTGGAGGGGAGCCTTGCCGCACACACTCACTGGGAGTGTCCCCTGTGTGGGATTGACACCCATGTCTACCTCCCTTTCCTCATGTTATTTTACAAACTAAATGGCTGCTTTGCTGGAAGATGCTGGAGACACAATCCTAAAAACAAGTAAGACATTTTAAAAAATGTGTTTGATTTTTAGACCAACTGTAGTATCTTGTTTGGTCATTGTTCTCACCGTGAACAAAACTGTAGCCACTGCTATCACCCGTTTTGTGCCCTCAAGGAAACAAAATGAATGCCAACTTTAGAAATACACTTTTAAGAGAACATAAAAATAAGGCAGAAGGAGGGAATTAAGGTCCTGTGACTGTGTCCCCGGTCACCTCCAAGGCCTGACCCTGCGATAAGACAGCATCTCTCCTGACATGACCTGAGGTATAACAGAGAGTGAGTGAGTACAGAGAGTCCCCTGTCTAAGGGTCTGGGCGCTTCCTAGGGGAATGGACACGCAGTCTGAGTGGTTGTGCTGATGACAGCCCTGTAGAGCCGGGAGCCACCCAAGGAAATTAGGGCCTGTCTGAGGTTGTAGAAATGTTCTGGAACTTATTTATAGTGATGATGATGTAGCAGTATACAATCCTGGAAACTGATCAAACTCCACATTTAAAATGGATGAACTGTATTATATAAGTTATATCTCAATAAACAGAGGGGAAGTGTTTCTTCCACCTTTGGACTAGAGAGTCATCCTAGTTCCCTGGCTCTCACCTGCTGGCACTCTGCTAGCAATTTACCCTTAGGGTTTAGCCGGTTCCTTCGTAGGTAACAGGTAATGTGTTTCTGTGTTTGCGTTTTGGTTTCTTGGTGTCTGAAGTGAGCACGACTGCTGCTCCTTGAAGAAGCACGATGAGGAGATTAGGATTACTTGGAAAGTCCTCAGGATACAGGGTACTGCCCTTGATAAATAAATAGCTCTATTTTTCCGTGTCTCCTCAGCCCAGAACACCACCCAATCTGGTGTTTGAGAGAATCAGGACTACTGCTTCCGGTCAATCACCACCAATCCGGGAAAGCTCTAACAACCTCAATGACGGTTATGAATTTGACTTCACACAGTTAATCAGCTAATGCTTAAAGAGAACTACGGCATGCCATGATGCAAAGACATCAGTTCTGTTGAATTTTTGCCATCTGAGAGGCTCTAGTGCTGCAGGAGGAGCCACCTAGTGTTCAGTGAGCCAACTGAGACACAGAAATATTCCCTCAGAGCCTGACACTGTGCCAACAATGTAATTTCCCAAGTCTTGGATTGCTCAGAGTATGAAACCCAAATACAGAAATCGGAGAGCTGTTTTTTAAAAAAACAGAGTTCTGGCTTATATCGATCATTCTTGTGACTCTCGGCTACAGCGGCTACATACCAGCCGACTGCGTCATACCAGGGTACTGCTTCACATCCATACCTCATAAAAGCAACTGTTTGTGATTATTTTTCCCATTTCAAAAAGTATGTTTTACTACTTTTTAAATTTTTATTTATGATTAAAACTTGAAACAGAAGGGGCTGGGTGCAGTGGCATGCTATTTATCAAGGACAATATCTTTGTTCCCTAAGGACTTTCCCAATGTTGATAGTCTCCTAGCACTTTGGGAGGCTGAGGTGGGTGGATTGCTTGAGCTCAGGAGTTTGAGACTAGCCTGAGCAAGAGCAAGACCTACAAGCAATAGAAAAAAAATAGCCAGGTGTTGTGGTGCACACCTGTAATCCCAGCTTCATGGGAGGCTGAGGCAGGAGGATCTCTTGAGCCCAGGAATTTGAGGTTGTTGTGAGCAATGATGACACCATTGCACTCCACTGGGGCAATAGAGTGAAACTCTGCCCAAGAAGAAGGAAAAGGGTGGGGGGACAAGAAGGGGGACAAGATGGAGCAGAGGGGAGGGGGGGGCAGAAATAGTACGGAGTGGCTTTAGGTAAAATGGAGGAAGCATGCTCTAACTTGTTCCCCCAAAGAGCATAGTTCAGGACAGAAGGCAGGGTGCATCTGTTTGACGTTTCTTTAAAGTAAATAGTAGCGAGTTGACTAGAAAAGAAAACCAGAACTCCAGTTACCACTGAATGCCACTAACTTTTCCATTTTTACTCACATATTCCCAGTTTGGGCTCAAGGCAACCAGAAACCCAGAAGTGGGAACATGGACAGCTAGAGCTCCAAGAAATCCTCTGACTCTAGGGGGAAAGGGGACACTTAATGCTCAAAGGATAAGGACAACACTTGATTGTCCATGAGCTTCTGAGGTGAGGGAGGTGTGGTGACAGCAGAATCAAATGGCAGCCCAGCCGGCAGAGACACAAAACGCTGAGGCAGAGAGTCTTGCTCTCTGGAGGAAGGCTGTGGCCTTTGGAGGGTAGAGGCGACCCTTGCTGCTTATTTTCTATCTTGGTCTCCTTGGTACTTGGGCCAGATGTAAGTGCAGTTCAGAGAGTGTGCGGCAGAACTGGGAAGCTAAAGTCCTAGATTTCTGGCCAAAAGACTGAAAAAGAGGACTCCAGAGAATTGCAAAATAGCAAAATACCAGGAACAGCTCGGACGTGGGCAAGCCTCAGAAAGAGACCCCTGGCAGGTTGCAGCTGCGCACGCGCGGCTCTGATCTCAAACAGCACACCAGAGACTTTCCAAACTAAGGGATAGGCCCAGGCCATCACCACATATAGCATTACAAAGAATTTCAAAGCAAAGGACTTGGAAATTACAACTCACAGAAGGCTGGTTGGAACTTGCGGCCTGAACCCAACCACATAGATTATCTACTAAAACAAACAACAAAATCTGTATTCTCCAAAGGAGAAGACAAGGCTGAAAGTGTAAGAATTTAAAATGTCCCAGCTAGAACTCATAATTACTGAGCATACAAAGAACCAGGAAAGCCTCAACAAGCATGAAGAAAGAAAACCAACAGATGCCAAGAAAAATCACACAGATATGATAATCTGACAAACTGAAAGCCATTGCTGTAAAAATGCTCTCAGAAAGAAGGCAAACACTCTAAAGTGAAATGGAAGGGAGCAATTAATAAGTTGGGCTTCATCAAATCAAAAATTTATGCTCTACGAAAGACATTAAGGAACGAAAAGACAAGGTACAAACTGAGAAAAAAATGGCCAATCACATACCTGACAAAGGACTTTTATCCAGAACGTATGAAGGACCCTCAAAACTCATCAGTAAGAAAACAACCTAACTGCCAGACGGGAAGAGCACTTAAACAGACATTTCACTGAAGGGGATACACAGATATCCAATAAATACATCAAAAGATATTGCACATCATTAGCCATTAGGGAAATGCAAATTACAAACACGTAGAGATATCACTACATTCCTATGAGAATAGCCAAGATAAAAGAAAGACAAATGCTAGAGAGGATTGGTGTGGAGCAAGTGAAACTTTCATGCATTGCTGGAAGGAATGCAAAATGGTACAGGTAGTATTCTGGAAAACAGTTTGGCATTTCCTTATCAAGTTAGTGAAACATATACACACTATTTAACACAGTGATTCCACTCTTGGGTATTTCGCCTAGAGAAATGTAAACTTGTGTTCAAGCAAAATCCTGCACACCTGTACACAGCTCTATTCATGATTGCCAAAAAGTGGAGACAAGCCAATAGTCTTTCAGGGGGTGAATGGATAATAATCGGTCAGCTGTCCATCGGGTGGAAGACTGTGCACCAGTACAAAGGAACAAGGTATTGACACATGCAGTAACTTGGATGAGACTCAAAGGCATTGTGCTGAGTGGAAGGAAGAGGCCAATCTCGAATCTTCTCTATGATTCTGTTCACATTACATTCTTGAAAAGACAAAATTGTGGTTGACTGCCTGCAGTTCGAGATGGGGAGGGTACGACTGCGAAGTCCTAACGTGAGGGCATGTGTGGGAAGGACACGATGGAAGTGTTCTGTCTCCTGATGGTGGTGGTGGTCACACGAAGCTGTGTGTGTTGATACCCGCAGAATCGAGCAGGCACAAGAGTTGTTTTCTACAGTGTGTTAACATAAAAATAAAAATTTAAAAGACAGAACAGAAAATATTTTTAGTAAACTATATTTCAGCGTTATGCTAATTTGATAAGCTTCAGTCATTGAAAAGTCTCAAAGATTATTTTCTGTCACTGAAACACCACTGAGCCCTGTAACCTGGTTGTCCTGTGAACCAGGAGTACTGGCACCACCTAGGCATTGGTACAAAAGCAGAATTTGTCAAGTCCAAAATCTGACTCAAGATCTGCTTTTAAACCTGATCCCCAGATGAGCCTTATACATATTACAGTTTAAGAAGCGCTGCTTCAGAACTACAGAGACGACGCTAAGGAGCATCCTCTTAAACGTCAGTCTTCTGAGAAGCCCTGGGTGCCGGAGCACCTCCGTCTGCACATCCCTTGAGGGCGTTTGTACCTTTGGGGTTTCGGCATCTCTCAGTCAATATGTGCTGTTGTTTCTTTATTGTGTATCATCTCCTTAGAGCCTTGTAAAGTGAACACTGGACGTTGATTTCTGGCTTCTCTTAGCATTTGACTTGTTTTCAATGCATCATTAAATTATATAAAGCGGGTATGGAAAAGCCCCATTAAGATTTCTAAGTCATTCCCAAGCAGGTGCAAGCAAGTGGGTTCAGAGGGAAAGATGAATTCCCTTCCCCCCCAAGAAGCATAAGCTAAGCCTCAACCCCAGGCACTCTCAGGTTCAACA